ATCCGTTGGTCAGACACTATCAGCAACGACCTAATATAGGAGGGAACAAACCAGATTCTAGCAAAGGAAGAAATCGGGAAGAACCACTGGTAGTGGATAGGACACGCACTGAGAAAGCACCTAAATGCATCACAAGGCAAGTCCTCACTTGGAACCCTCAATTCCAAAGGAGAAGAGGAAGGCCAGAGAACACACTACACTGAGAAATGGAGATAGACACGAGAAGAATGAACAACAATTGGATAGAACTAAAAAAGATGGCGGAGGACACAGTGGGTTGGAAAATGCTGGTCGGCGGCCTATACTCTACTGTGAGTAACAGGCGTAAGTAAGTAATAAATATATAACATTATAAATACTAACTAACATATCTGTCTGTTTGTACTCAGTGACCAATCACGGCTTGTTTCCCATCAGAGATCCATCAAAATTCTACCAACCAGCTGTTTAGACGATGTATCTGGCTGGAGATTTGAGATCAGTTAGTAAGTGGTTGCAAGTCGAATGCTTCAAACATGAAGTCCTAGATCCGCAGTAGAATAGTGCCGACAACTTGAATGATAAATAATATTTTAAGCTTATGTAAGGATATGATTCTGAAGGTGTACGGTTCTATAATAATTTATCTAACATAATGCCCCCAAATGCCCTGGAATGGTCGAGAGTGGGGAGAGTTCGCTCTTTCTCTCGAAATACTCTCACACGGCCACGCGTATACAGCCTCTGACAGGGAAGTCCTACTCACTGCCTTCTCGTGGCGGGTGTTGTTTACGAAAATGAGAGGACGAAAAGCGAATGTCCAGCGCTTTAACCGGATCCTGAACCAATGGTGCACATGGGCTCCAATATCCTTCGGGAACAAATGGCGTATGAACCAATTGTTGGTCACTGGCTACCATGGGACTGCATCTCCTCACGATGCTCCACTGCCTTGTGGGTTAGACCTTCAGGTCGAAGGCTCAATGTGTGGCCTCCTAAGAAAAACACCTGCTTCAGTCTGGGCACCCGGAAAGTATCACAGCCCACACATAAATATAATGATGATGAAAATGTGTGGCGCATACATATATGGTGCTCTCTTGTACCAGTATTTATGTGTTTAAATAAATAAATATCTAACATAATATATGGTAATATAAATAGATAATAACTTAATATTGTGCAACAGTTTACCTGGTTGATGAAATTTTGGTTCTAATTGAAATGCTAATTCTCTTGCTTGATTAGATAAATGCAATGCTTTCTGTATCATAGACATGGCTAAATCAGATGCTTTACGAGCTTTCAATGCACTAAAATACAAATGAATTTAGTAAAACAATAATAAGAATAACATATAAACATTAGTACAAGAAGGTATCAAATATAAATATGAGCCACATAAATCATTCGATTTGTGTGAGGGCTGGAATACTGTCAGGGTGCCCAAACCGAAGCAGGTGGTTTACCTAGGCGGCCACACTCCGAGACTTTGACCTAAAGTTCTAATCTGCAAGGAAGTGGAGCAACGTAAGGAGATGCAGTCCCATGGTCGTCGGTGACCAACGATTGATCTATACATTTTTGGTAGTTTCAGGATTCTGGAGCCCATATGCACCATTGGGTTGGAATCACGAAATTTCCAACTCCTTTATATCTATTAACATTGTTAAAGCATCAGACATTCGCTCTTTGTTCTCTCAGTTTCTTAAACAACAGTAATGCTGCGAGAAGGCAGCGAGTACGACTTCCCTGACAATGGCTATATACGCGTGACCATGTGAGAGCATTTAGAAAGGTGGATCTGATCCTCCCTACTCTCTGCCGTACCAGGGCATTTGGGGGCGATGTCCATCAAACGTAGCATGCTTGTATTGAATCCTAAAGACTGGAGAATCAAATACAAGCAAGAATCTCGACAAAGATGGAAAAAATTCTAAACTATTCTAGAATGAATTATTTATTACACGATATCTTTACATTAGATTTTATTCAGTTCATTGACTATTGGCATATATGTTTAACTGTTCTTGTATTTTGTTGAGGATGTTAGATTCTCAGAACTCACTTAGTAAATATCTTATTTTTGTAATTCTATTTTAAAAATTTGTATTTCTTGTTTTCGCGCCAAAAACACCCTTTTTTCACTTTCATATCGTATTACCCACTTACTTACTTACGCCTGTTACTCCTAATGGAGCATAGGCCACCGACCAGCATTCTCCAACCCTATCTCTCCTCCGCCTTCCTTTCCAGTTCTGTCCAATTTTTGTTCATTTTTCTCATGTCTGTCTCCTTTTCTCGGCGTAATGTGTTCTTTGGTCTTCCTCTTTTCCTTTGGCCTTCAGGATTCCATGTGAGTGTTTGGTTTGTGACGCAGTTGAGTGCTTTCCACAATGTGTGTCCTATCCACTTCCAGCGCTTCTTCCTGATTTCTTCCTCCGCTGGAATCTGGTTTGTTCTCTTCCACAGTTGGTTGTTGCTAATAGTGTCCGGCCAACGGATCCGAAGTGTTTTGCATAGACAACTGTTAATAAACACCTGTATCTTCTGGATGATGGCTTTCGTAGTTCTTTAAGTTTCCACCCTATACATTAGAACTGTTTTGACATTTGTATTGAAAATCCTGACCTTGGTGTTGGTTGACAGGCAGTTGTTTTGAGTTCCAGATGTTCCTCAATTGTAAATATGCTGCTCTTGCTTTGCCGATCCGCGCCTTCACATCTGCATCAGATCCACCCATTTTGAGGACCATAAATGCTGTTGGTTCGTTGTCTCTTTTAATATGATATTGTGTAATGTTTCTCAATGACATTTTTGTGTTGTATATATTTATACGCTTGAGTTGTGTTTATTGTGGTTGATGTTCATGATTCTGGCTGTTTGTAGAATATATTTCCCTCTTCCGAACTTAACGTTCTTCCCCTAGTTTTCGGAGCTGAAACACGTTGGAACAGCTAGATTATTGATCATTGTATTACAGAATTTTCGTTCCGTTCTCAGATTGGGTGAACTCGTAATCCTTTGTTTTTCGTCTCATAAACATAAGTTTTCCATTCGAATTTCTCTTGAGCCGACTCTTTTATGAATTTTAAAGAGGTTTCTGGTAAACCGAAGTAACCAGAATGACCTAAATAGTCGAAGATTGAGCTTTTGATTGACTTCTGTAATCTTTTAGAAGGCTAGGGAGGATAATGCTCAGAGATGTTTTTTATTGCTTTGTATTCAGGTCGATATTGTCTGTAAAATAACTGATTGATGTAAATTCACTAGAGCGCGATGATCAGTCAGTTATCGATTTATTCACAAAAGATATTTGTAAGACAATATTGTGGAAAGATTTCTGTGAGAACAGCTGACAGGCGAACTCGAGAAAGCTCTAAGAAGCCCAGAAAGAACCGAAGACACTTCATCCAATCATCTTTTGGAAGAATATTCCAGAATCCTTACATGTAGCTTCCCTATTGGACAAATGCTAATAACCCTCTGTACGTGAATTGAATCTGTATAATGCTGATTACGTTTTTACTAAAAACTATAAATACCTAACAGCTTTGTTTGAAGTAGCATTCTTTTCACTTATCTTCTGTCTTCTTATATGCAACTTGCAGGGTTCTAGCGTCCGAGTGCTCAAGTTATACGTGGTATATTAAGAATCGAAGCTCTAGACATGACAATTTCTTATTCGATAAAGTTTTATTCAGAAATCAATTTTCAAGTAAGATTGATGTTAACTCCAAAACAAAATCGTGTCTTTTACTATTATTCTCATTAAAACTTGAATTCATGAATGATCATATACCCATCTCTTCATGTTCCCAATATGCAAAGTTCTCAACAGAGAGCAATACTGCAAAGACATAAAAGGGACATAAATGTCAAATAGTTCAAGAGTTGAAGAACTTTACTTATGAGAGTTGTTGTGACTTTATGTCCGGCTTTTTATCCACCAATCAAAATACGACATATACAATCTTAGCACTGTGCCAAACCAATAACGTTCGACCGGTATGGGCAGCCCAGCATCCTTATTGGTCCTATGTCCACTTAGCCCGTCCACTTGAGTCCAGAACACCAATACCAGCTTCTACTATGCGAATCGAAACGAATCGTTTATTTCAGACATACTGGGCTTATATATCAATCAAACAGACCGCAACGCACCATAAAATAGAAAATAACATTTGTACACAATAAAGCCAAAAAGTGGCTGTGAACGTGGGAGGTAATGGTTAATGAACTGAACATAGTTTAAGAACCGTAAATCGTACAATAATAATATATAAGTCAAAGTAAAGCTTATAACAAGGGGAATATAGATAAACATTATCTAGTTACGGAATATTTATACCATGAGAATATATAGATAAGATTAGTCCATTAATAGGTCTCAAACGTTACTCGTAATTCGATCTTCACCAAGACATAACAAGAATATTTTAGTATAGTTTAAACAAATGTCCTAGGTTCGAATCTCGCGCACTGCTAAGGAGTCCCACAATAGGATGGAACGACCGTCCAGTGCTTTCAGGCTTTCTATGGTGGTCCAGCTTCAATTGACTCATGATCTCAACTATTGAAATTACTAAAATATCCACAAAAACCCTTTTGATGATACTCAACATATGCTCACTAGTGACTGACTTCAAGAGGTATTTGTTGGAGTTCTAGTGGTATGCAATAACCAGTGGAGTTCAACCGGGTCTGTTGTGAGATAGTAACTCACTGATGACAATGGTAGATGTGTCGCTCAATTTCGTGGATTAGTTGAAGTTACACATTCACACTATTGGATGCTAGCCGGCTCAGTTGTCTAGAGGTTAAGCGCTCTCACGTGAGACCGATAGTTCATCGGTTTGAATCTTCCAACACAGGATCATGGATGTGTACTACTAAGGAGTCCCACAATACAATGAAACAACCATTCAATGCTTCCAAGTTTTTCAATGATGATCTAGTTTCAATTAACTCATAATCTTAATCTCATCTTATATAGAAACAAATGATCATATACTACTTACTTTTCTTTTGCTTCTTCTAATGCTATTAATTTCGCTTGTTTTGCTGCAGTTTCAGCACGTATTAATGCATATTCAACACATTCTTTTAATTTTGTTTGACGTACTAAATGTAATTTATTTTTACGATTAATTTTATTAATTAATTGATTCGCTTGAAATTGTCCTTCATCACGTGTACCATTTGGATTAATTAATATACCATAACCATGTTTTTGATTACGTATCCATTCACCAATATATATTATACCATTAGAACGTTCTGATATACCATAACCAGAACGTTGATCTTGAAACCATTCACCAGAATATATTTCTATTACACTAATATATTGATTATTAGTATTATTTGATTGAAAATCAATAATATAATCAATATTTTTTTGTATTTTTTCTTTATTTGTTGTATTATTTCCATGTGTATCATTTAGATTACTTAATGGATTATTCATAGTAGTATTAGTAGTAGTAGGAGTAGTAGTATTGTCATTAGTAGTAGTAGTAGTATTGTTATAAGTAGTATTAGTATTAGTAGTAGTAGGAGTAGTAGGAGTAGCATTAGTACTATTTATTGACCGACCTAATTCAATCGCTGAATGTTGTTTTTTTAATCGACGCATAATTGCTCTACCAATTAAAGCTTTACGACTTACGGATAAAGTTTCTTTTAATGGTAAATTTATATTAGAACTATGATGTTTATCATTAGATTTAAGTGATTGATTAATGATATGAATGTTTTTCATTTGATCTAATTCATTTAGATATTCTGTTTTTGTAATCGGTATCTTTGCTGTTGTTGTTGTTGTTGTTGTGGTGGTGGTGGTGGTGGTACAGGTGGTGGTGGTGATGGTGATGGTGGTGGTGATGGTGGTAATAGGATTAGTAGTAGTAGTTATTGTTTCCATGTTTACAGTAGTATTTGGTGAATTATCTGATAATGTATTAGTTTTATAACTAATAAATGATTTACGAACACCTAAACCATGACGAAATCCTTTTGACCAAGCACCAGCATATATACCTATAATAGAGAGAAGAATTTAAAAAGACATTAAGAAAATAAACAAACAAAAGAAATTTATCTGGAAAAAGAAAGAAAATAGATAAATCAGTATCGGAAGGAGGGTTTTATGGAGATTTTAGGAATCTAATATTTGAATTCATGGGTTAATTAATGGTAGATCACCATGGAAAACCTGGAAGCACTGGACGGACGTTTCGTCTTAGTATGGGGCTCTTCAGTAGTACGCGTCCATGATTCAACCCACGGTATTAGAACCTTCAACTAATCCATGAAATTGTGCCACCATCCATCATTATCTACAATAAGTTACTGTCTCATTTGTATCTTCCCATTAATGTTTAGGACTGCATTTGATCAGTCTCTTATTGGCATCTATACATCCTGTGCGGATTTCCTTGATATAGCCTTAAGTCACAAGCTTTTTAAGCAAAAATGGATAGTGGCTAGCAGTGGAATCCAGAACGCGCATTTTGTCCTATTTGGGACTCGTCAGCTGGATTCCACTGCTAGCCACTATCCATCTTTGCTTATAATGCTTGTAAATTTAGGCAATATCGAGGCATACGCACAGTATGCACATATGCCAATAAGAGACTGATCAATTTCAGTCCAAAAAACATCAATGGGAAAATTCAAGTAAAACAATATCAAGTGAATTCAACTTCAACCCATTGCACAAGCAAGTGGCTATCAGGACTCAGTAGCTAAGTGGATAACGCGATGGCGTTTGAAGCGAACGGTACTGAGTTCGAGTCCCGGAGTGAACATCAACTCTAAAATGCAGGTACATCCGGTTGACGAGTTCTGAACAGGACGAAACGCGCGTTTTGGATTCCACTGCCATCCACTATCCATCTTTACTTATAATGCTTGTAAATTTAGGCAATATCGAGGCATACGCACAGTATGCACATATGCCAATAAGAGACTGATCAATTTCAGTCCAAAAAACATCAATGGGAAAATTCAAGTAAAACAATATCAAGTGAATTCTCTCATTTTATGTTTATTTTTCAAATTAGTACAACTGTGGTATGTACTAATGATATCCAACGGTGTTAATGTCAAACCTCAACCAATCCACGAAATTACGCGACCATCTCCCATTTTACTGAGGTAGATATCAGTTTCTACCCGACACGGATTAGCTCCACTAGTCATGGCTTCCCGCTAGAACTCCAAGGATTCCCTCACGAAGCTAATCATTAGTGAGCACATGGTAATTATCAATCAGCATAGGGTTGTGGAGTTTACTAAGTTTTTGATTGAGATCATGAACCGATTGATGTTAGACTACCATTGAAAACCTGGAAGTACTGGATGACCGTTTTGTCCTATTGTGAGATTCCTCAACAGTGCGCATCCACAACCTCGCTCGCGGGATTCGAACCCAGGGCATTTAGTTTCGCGCGCGGACGCTTAACCTCTAGACTACTAAGCCGGCATACAACGGTGTTAATTCGGTTGTCACTATTTGTGTGTTCTCATTCACCACACAATTTTATAGACAAAATTTATTTTACATACAACTGAATATGAATCGATTTTAGTTATATAATTATTAAAAAACCAGTAGGTAATAGACAGTTTTGTTTCATCCCAATTTCGAATTCATCATCAGTGTTCATTTATGTTAAGCTTAACAACAATCGACCATAGGACCTTCAAGTCTGGTGATAAGAATGTAATCCTTAAAGATAACTAAGTTGGTATTCAATGGTTTACATGTTAAAGTTTCCATTAATTTGTGATATTCTTTTTAGTCTCTGATGTCATTCAATCAGATGCATATATGCCTACTTCTTATATTCAAGTTAAACTTCAATCGTGAATTACAAGACGCACGATGAATAAGAAGCTGTAACTATCAATCATAGCCTATTGTATATAACTTATCAATACATGTATATTCCTCTCTCTTGGATATAAAGTCTAAGACCTTAACAAAGTATATAATTAGCTTCATATAATAGTGTACATCACTGTAACCTCTCACTTAGCCCTTTACCTTAAGACAATTTATGACCATAAGTACCATTATGACTTAAGTCATTATGGGTTTTTTTATCAACTTGCAACTGAATCTAATGATTTCTTATAATGTACTTAGTGTTAATTGTTGCTGGTCAACAAATTGTCCCAGTAATCTCAAAGAAACTGATTGTGTATTTTTAGTTGGTGGAGAAGATTTGTAGCTCAAATAGATGATCTTGGTGGAGTTTTGTTCTCTGAGCTGGATGGTTTGGTGATAGAGCTTTCATAATTCTTCTGAACAACAAACGTCTACCTAAAGTTTGTGCTGATGATCTCGTTCAGAAGAATGATAGTGTATTGGAATACAACTCATCTAGTTAGTTATTATGAGGTATTAGAACTAAGCTATTAAGACTGCGACTGACCTTCTTTAAGATAGATATACTGATGGATTACTGAGTAGTGAAAAATATCATTTTTGTTCAGATTTTTCATTCGAATATAGTTCTATTGATAAAGTTGCAGCGCGGCTACTAGTCTAAGTGACTCGAGATTGCGTAAACTATGCCTGAATATTAAATGATTGGAGATGGTTAGCAGGAAATTTTTTTGATATAGGTTTTATCCTAGCTGACACTTACCAGGTAGGCATACGTTTAATTTTCAGTGAATGGTTACTCTTTAAGGAATTCGAAATCTTCGTCACTCACTATCATAATGTTAGTCATGTTATCATTGCTCTATTCGAACCGGTATAATTTCGTTCATGTTTTCAGATATAGACCTTCCCATACAGTGTCAACTAATATGAAACTTATATCGAAGAGAATGTTTTAATGATCAAAATACTCAGCAACCCATTTTTGTAAAAAATAAACTGACTACTGTACAATATCGAAAAATGATAACATACTTCCATCAGCGCATGTTTCAATTCCAAAACCTTCAAATCGATTTACATTCCAACTACCTTCATATTTTGCTTGATTATTTATTGATGTTTTCACTCCATATTGATTAAAAGCACCTGAATTAAATTCACCTTGATAAATCCATTTTCCTCTCACTTGAATACCATTACCATGACGTTTTCCTTTAATCCATGTACCAGCGTACATATTTCCATTTGGCCATAAATATACACCACATGTTTCAAAACCTAAATTCCATTCACCAGAATATTCACCAACACCATTTGGTCCTGTAGCTAAACCAAGTCCATGAGCTGAACCTTGATACCAATTACCAATATAAGTACCACCATCATTAAAATCAAAACGTCCACCGTCTGTATTCATTTGATTATAATTTCATATACATACAATCTATCTATACTTTTGTGTAAATGATATGATTTTGAAGGTGTACATTAAGCGTTTAATGTTTGGTTTTAAGCATATTCCAAATTGAATCTACAAGGTTCAATAGATATCAAAATGTTTGATCTGAGAAGATTGAATAGTTAACATTGATTATCAGTTTTACTAATGTCATTGGAAAAAAAGAATAATTTATAGAAAGACAAAGAAATGATGAAGTTTAGACTCCACAACAGTATGTATCATCGATATCGCACATGGGACTCGAACTCAGGATCTTCGATTTTATGCACAAATGCTTAACCTCTAGATCACTGAGCCAGTATCCTATGATATTGATGTCTAACTTTAGAAACAGATTACAAAGTTTGATTTAGTATTCTCTAGTTGCTTCAATCTTGTGTTATCTAGTTTTATAGACAAGCAATACTACTGAGGAATTATTCAATCTGTAAAATGACTGTATAGAATTGAGAAATAGATATGCTAATTGACGATTTGATAGAATTTGATGTTATTCTATCTCATTATACAGTTTCTAAGGCAGAAGAAATGTGAATGTTCACCATTTGTTCAATCATATACATCATAATACATCCGATTCCATAAGTAACACTAAGATACTTTACCAAGTACTAATCTAAAATATCACTCATTCCGCATCTGCTTATTTCTCTTAATCGAACCGGTTATGACATATCACTTTTTCTTATTTAAAAGACTGAATTATAGATTTCAGTTTATGAATTAAGTATATACAATGTATTTGAATGATTTCAGTTAAGTGGAATTAAAACAAAAATAAGTCATTAATTATTTAAAAATGATGGATAGTGGCTAGCAGTGGAGTACGGGACATGCGTTTCGTCCTATTTGGGACTCGTCAGCTAGGTGTACCTAAATCTCAGAGTTAGGACTTGAACCCAGTACCGTTCGCTATAAACGCCATCGTGTTATCAACTTAGCTACTAAGTAAAGTAAGTAAGTTCAGTATTTCAGTGTAACGCGATGGTGTTTGAAGCGAACGGTAGTGCACTGAATTTGAGTCCCGGAGTGGTCATTAACTTTGAGGTACGGGTACTTCTAACTGATGAATCCCACAGTAGGATATAACGGCCGTTCAGTACTTTCAGGTGTTCTATGGTGGTCTAACTACAATTGACTCATGAATTCAACTCTTAAATTACTAAAATCTCCATAAAAAGACCTCTCTAATTTTGCAAACTATTAAAAAGTTTAACAGAAGCTCCTAATTGACATTATTCAGTTCAGTTATTAAGAAAGATAAGAAGCTGGATGAGAGAATGAAGAAGATAGCAAGATGAATGAATGAATGAATGAATCAACATTAAAGTATGGGGGGAATAAGTCATTTCTAACATTTCACTGGTTGAAATCATGATTCATTTGAAGCTAGACCGCCATGGAATACTCGGAAGCAGTGGACGGCCGTTTCGTCCTATTGTGGGACTCCTCAGCAGTGCGCATCCACGACCTTGTCACCTGAGAGATTCGAATCCAGGACCTACTGGTTTCCATGGTGATCAAGTTTCAATTGACTCATGATTTCAACCAGTGAACTTTCTAAAATCTCAACAAAACCCCTCCTGATTTCAAAAATGTTTAATTAACAGTTAGAGTTTAGTTTAACTATCATTGATTATGTCTCTGTAAATTTGTTTTTAGGGAATATTTTCTACATAAAGCACTAATTAGATTAACAAAAGAAGAAGGAAATTAAATTATCAAGATATATGATGACCTTGACGTAAAATTTGATTCTAAAAGTATTATGTTACTTTTAAGAATTGTATCATCGGCGAGACTCTAATTTATGGACGAGCCAATCAGGAACGTTTTAGAGATTTCAAGGTTACGGCGCCAACTTCAGTGCTTAAGGCTAACGTACGATCGGTTCACAGAGAATTTTGCACAAAACGTGATAAGTGAGCAGCTATAACAAATAAAATGGCAAGACTATAATCTGTGAACGAACTAATCAGGCATAAGATAATAGATCTCGGATTTTAACGCGAAAACCTATCATCCATTTGGTTAAATAAACTCCTGGCATTATAGCTGATGTCAGTTCGTGATGAAAACCCCATATATATATACGATTCCTAACTAAGGCAAATTACGAAAATTATTGCGAACTGGATAATAAAAGCACCAGTAACACTGGATGAAGCCAGGTACTACAATACATACGGATGTTTGGAGAACCTACAGACTCCTACACAGGCTTGGTTATGTGCATCGTGTCGTTATCCATAAGTGGCATTTTGTGGACCCAACAACCGGAGTGCACACAATCAACATTGAAACTATGTGGTTGAAGCTGAAAGAGTTTTTGAGATTTTATCATGGCTCCAGAGGCCGACTATTCTGTAGCTGTATGGATGATTTCCTTTACTGCATCCATTACAATTTTAGAACCTCCGAACCTCTTTCTAACCTTGACAAGTTTTTGAACCACGTATAAGAAGTGTATCCACTTGATTTTTTTGGTTTTGCATAACATATTTTTACTCTATACTGACTGTTTGCTGTTTGACTAATATTTCTCAAGATCGATTAAGATTCGTTTAAATGTCGTCCATAAATTAGAGTGTCGCCGTATCATCTTGAGTAATAGATGCCTATTTAAGCGTTTTATGCTCACTAATCATAATTATCTGTCGAACAGGTACCTTGCTAAGAAGCCTTACCCACCCCCACCCCCTTCCCACAAAGAATGCTGTCTAAATGGAGAAACAAAAGTTCATAACTCTCAAGATTTTCTGTCTTTCAATTTGTTCAAATAATCAACTTAAATGATGGATAGTGGCTAGCAGTGGAATCCAGGACGCGCGTTTTGTCCTATTTGGGACTTGTCAATTGCAGTCTTAAACCTCAATGGGAAGATACAAGCCAAACAATGCCAAGTGAATCAACTTAAATTTTATTGACATCATTGAATGAATTTGACCAGATAATGAATCATTTGCTTATTAGAGAATAGTTTCTAGTTGGATTATTGAATTCCTAATGGGGAATCTTGATATGTCTTAGTGAAATGTGCTTAAACAACACATATACACAACATCTTATACTTTCAACTCTTACTTCTACGCAAAATTCCTGAGAATCAATGGTGCTGAAAGTGAGATAATTCACATTGATAACATCACAATATCATAATTTATTTGAAATGAGATATATAGTACAATGGATGTCAATTTCGGCTTGAACTCATCGTGAATCTCAAATATCACATGTTTAATCCCTAGATAAGTCAAAATAACTAATCTCAAATAGGACGAAACGTGCATCCTGGATTTCGCTGCTAGCTACTATCTATATTTGCTTAAAAAGCTTGTGACTTAAGGCTATATCGAGGCAATGCGCATAGGATGCACATATGTCAATAAGAGACTGATCGATTACGGTCCTAAATAACAATAGGGAGATACAAGTAAAGCAACACCAAGTAAATCTACTGTTATCTACTTGTCAATGATAGTCTATTTAAGGTTACTTCTTAATGCAAACTATCTTAGAAATGAACATTTCAAAAAGCAGGAGGGTTTTTGTAGATATTATAATAATTTTAATGGTTGGAATCATGAATCCATTGAAGCTAGACATCCATGAAAAACCTAGAAGCACTGAATGGCCGTTTCGTCGTATTGTAGTTCCTGGGTTCAAATCTCACAAGGAGGGATCGTGGATGCGCACTGTTGAGTTAACTCATGATCTCAACCATTTAGATTTCAAAAATCGATAAAAGATACTATTGTTGTTATGATTACACAATTTCTCACCATAATTGTGCATCTAAAAATATCAATAATCAGTTATATTGATGATTATTACAAACATCTTAAGATAATTTAATTTTACAGATTGAAATCATGAGTCAATTAAAGCTAGACAAGCATGGAAAACTCGGAAATACTGGACGGCCGTTTCGTCCTAGTATAGGACTCCTCAGTGGCAGTGCACATTCACGATCCCTCACCCTGAGAGACTCGAACCCGGGACCTATCACTCTCGCGCCAAACGCTTAACCAACTAGACCACTGAACCCGTATTCAATGGTGTTAATGTCTAACTTCAATCAATCCACGAAGTTCACTCATGATTTCAATCTGTGAAATTTCTAAAAATCTCCACAAACTCCTTCTGATAATCATTTAATTTATCTTATTACCATGTGAATGATCAAAAAGGCAACAAAAAAAATATTCGATATATTCATGCTAAGTATAGTTAGTTACATTGATGTATGTATGTATGTGAGTTGCTATGTAGATATGTGTATCTGAAAGGATTGACATAATAATAATAATAATAATAATAATAATAATAATAATAATAAGCCAGAACAAGTTGTCTTCATTTGAGTAATTCTCATATATATATATGTATATTCCTTTTCTTTATTACATAATCAATGTGATAGAAGAGTTTTTGTTATGGATAGAAAAACTTAGTGAGTGAAAAATTAGAATAAGAATAGGGGTAATGAATGAAAAAGAAGAGTATCCAGGATAGAGAGAGAATGTGTGTGTGTGTGTGAGAGAGAGAGAGAGATCGATTAAATTCGATTACAAATGATTTTGATTTGAATATTGAATAAGAAAGAAGTAACATAGAAACCAACTTAGCTAAATAGTTAGTCAGTCAGTTACAATGTAGGATCAGGCACATATATACATCGGTCCAAGTTGCCATACCTTTGTAGTGACTTAATTTTATCAAGAGAACGCGATTGATTTAATGGAAACAATTATTATTATTATAACCAATTGTACCAGTGATTGTTTAACTGTGCTAAAGACAATCATATTACTGCTCCATTATCTTTCGATTGTGACCTTGCACGGGTTCGGTTATGCTCGGTAACCACGTTTGTACTCCTTTGGTACGATCTCGGTATCCTTTCGATACCACGAGATCGCCAACAAATACATCTCGACTATACCCATTAACTG